AGCAGGCCAGGCCCATGTGTCCACTACTGAGGCTCACTCTGCTCTGGGGTCAGCAGCACTATAGCCTGGGCAAGTCCTGTGGCCCAGGTTCTCCCACCATTCCCAGGCAGTGGTCAGTCTCCCAGCCCCCACAGCTGGCTCACTTGAAGAGAATGCAATGCCTGTACCCAGTGTGCTGGTTCCTCTCCCCAGGCAAGCTGCAGCAGTTCGAGGGCAGCCGTTGGCATACTGTGGCCCCCTCAGAGCAGCAAAAGCTGAGCAAGTTGGACGGGCAAGTGTGGATAGCCCTGTACAACCTGCTGCTAAGCCCTGAGGCCCAGGCGCGCTACTGCCTCACAAGTTTTGCCAAGGGACAGCTACTCAAGGTCGGACTCCCTCTGCACCAGCCCCCACAGCCCCAGCACCGCCCTCCCCATCCTACCCTGACCCTGTCCCTGCTGTTTATCTTTGCCCACCCACCTCAACCCCCGTGCTCTTTTCAGTCCTTGGGCCTCAGGTGACACACCAGCTAGTGGGACATGGACCCCCACAGGCATGCTCAGCCCAACCCAGCCCCTTCCTTTTCCGTGGCCCCCTGGCCAGCACCTGCATCACACTGACCTCCACTGGACACTCTTGCAGCTTCGGGCCTTCCTCACAGACACACTACTGGACCAGCTGCCCAACCTGGCCCACTTGCAGAGTTTCCTGGCCCATCTGGCCCTGACTGAAACCCAGCCCCCTAAGAAGGACCTGGTGTTGGAACAGGTAGACACTGGAAAGTTAGCTCCTCAGGACCACTGTCCTACTTTACCAGCACCTTCCTGCCACTCTCCACTCCTTTCCCTAGATCCCAGAAATCTGGGAGCGGCTGGAGCGAGAAAACAGAGGCAAGTGGCAGGCAATTGCCAAGCACCAGCTCCAACATGTGTTCAGCCCCTCAGAGCAGGACCTGCGGCTTCAGGCACAAAGGTAAGTCCTGTGGAACTGGCAGGAGGAGTGGATGGGATGCAGGAGGCATGGATGTGGGCAGGGATGCCCCCACCTTCCAGGGCCAGTCAGACCTTCCTGACTTTCCCCCAGGTGGGCTGAGACCTACAGGCTGGATGTGCTAGAGGCAGTGGCTCCAGAGCGGCCCCGCTGTGCTTACTGCAGTGCAGAGGCTTCTAAGCGCTGCTCGCGATGCCAGAATGAGTGGTATTGCTGCAGGTGAGGGTATCCTAGGACCTTGGACCCCTAAGTCCTACTGCCACATCCCCCACATGCACTGCCATCCTCAACACCCACCTGCCTGCAGGGAGTGCCAAGTCAAGCACTGGGAAAAGCATGGAAAGACTTGTGTCCTGGCAGCCCAGGGTGACAGAGCCAAATGAGGGTTGCAGTTGCTGAGGGCCAACCACCTATGCCAAGGGAATCCACCCAGAATGCACCCCTGAACCTCAAGATCACGGTCCAGCCTCTGCCGGAGCCCCAGTCTCCGCAGTGGAGAGCAGAGCCGGCGGTAAAGCTGCTGACCCATCCCCCTCCTCCCCACCCCAAGGGAAGGCTCGAGACTTCCTGCCCCACCTGGTGGGCAGGCCAAGTGCGTTGCCTCAGCAAACTGGGCCAGGAGGGCGAAGGCCGGATGTGGGGACCCTCTTCCTCTAGCACAGTAAAGCTGGCCTCCAGAAACACGGGTATCTCCGTGTGGTGCTTTGCGGTCGCCGTCTTTGTGGCCGTCCGGGGTGGGGTGTGAGGAGCGGACGAAGGAGGGAAGGAAGGGCAAGGCGGGGGCTCTGCTAGAGCGCGCCTAGCCCCGCCTTCGGGCCCCAGAGTCCCCGCACCCAGGTTTCCATTGCGCAGCTCTCCTCAGCTCCTTCCCGCCTCCCAGCTTAGATCCTGGGGGCGGTGCTGACGTCGGGGCCCGCCCTGTGGCCCCGCCCGGCCCGCTCTTGCTAGCGCCCAAAGCCAGCGAAGCACCGGCCCGACCGGGCCATGTCCACGGAGCCTGAGCTCATTGAGCTGCGGGAGCTGGCACCCGCTGGGCGCGCTGGGCAGGGCCGCACCCGGCTGGAGCGTGCCAACGCGCTGCGCATCGCGCGGGGCACCGCGTGCAACCCCGCACGGCAGCTGGTCCCGGGCCGTGGCCACCGCTTCCAGCCTGCGGGGCCCGCCACGCACACGTGGTGCGACCTCTGTGGCGACTTCATCTGGGGCGTCGTGCGCAAGGGCCTGCAGTGCGCGCGTGAGTAGCGGGCCCCGCGCGCCTACGAGAGCGGAAGGGGCAGCCAAGGGGCAGCGCCGTCGCCGCGGGTCAAGTCGCGGCAGAGGTGGTCGGTGGGGACAGCTCCCGAGGACTAGGTCCGTTACTTTCGCCCCATCGCTGAAGAGTGCGCGAAAATGGTTTATCCCTTGTCGCACTCCACTCGTATATGGGGCACAGATGAGCAGAGGTGGCAGCTTATATGTAAAAATATGCTGATTTCAAGTTTCTTATCTTTAAAATGCCTTGGCCTTTCTTGAGAAAGGGTTTGTGCCTACTGTCCTCGGAGTCCATCTTCCCAGGCTTACCTCTTCTCAAACATTCACTCACTGTGACCCCCTCCAGAACCTTTGGGGTGAAGGGAAGTTACCCACCTATGGGAGGGAGCCTGGAAAAAGTTAGAACCTTGGGTGTGCCCCCTGCAAGCAGGAGTTTTGTTGAGTATTTAGCAAACACCCTTGAATCAGAAGCTAAAATATGGAAGGCAGCCACACACCCATCAGTCCTTCTGCACCCCTGGGAATCGCCAGCAAGCAAAGGTTGCTCTCCCCTAGCTAGACACCAGCTGGAATCACCAGGGGCGCTTTTACAGCCCTCCCACCCTCTAGCCTGGATCCCACCTCAGACCCATTGAATCAGCTTCTGGGAGTGGACTCTAGGCAGCAGTAAATTTTTTTAAATCCCCAAATTATTGTAACATGGAGTCTGGGTTGAGCATCAGTGCTCTGAGCCATTTAGGAACTAGTGGATAGATGGTGTCCCAGGTCTGTATGTGCATGGAGACCCTCTCATCTGGTACAAGAGGACATCACAAATTCAGCTGGGGGGAGCACAAAGTTGTGACAGAATACCAAGAATAAACAAGGGCCGAGCACGGTGGCTCAGGCCTGTAATTCCAGTACTTTGGAAGGCCGAGGCGAGTGGATCACCTGAGGTCAGGAGTTCAAGACCAGCCTGGCCAACATGGTGAAACCCCGTCTCTACTAAAAAATACAAAAAAATTAGCCAGGCGTGGTGGCGGGTGCCTGTAATCCCGGCTACTCAGGAGGCTGAGGTGGGAGAATTGCTTGAACCCAGGAGGCGGAGGTTGCAGTGAGCTGAAATCACGCCACTGCTCTCCAGCCCTGGGGACAGATTGAGACTGTCTCAAAAAAAAAAAAAGAAAGAAAGAAAGAAGGAAGGAAGGAAGAAAAAGGCTGGGACACTGCAGCATTCTCAAAGAGAAATAAAGTGGCCATAGAGATAAGAAGCAGGATGATTTGGGCATGTTTATCAGAGGTAGAGACAAGGGAGGAATCAACGATAAGTTTGGGTTTTTGTTTCCAGTAACCGGGAGCATAGTGGCCATTTTTGCTGCAAAGAGGAAGCTGGGCAAGGGTAGCAGTGAGGTGGAAGAAAAGGGAATTAAATTTTGGCCATGTTCACTTGAAACGTCTTTTAGACATCCTAGTGAAGGTACTGGCACGGAGGATCTAATCTGAGGGTTTAGGTTAGTGTTTCAGCTGTGGATCTGGGGCAGAAGACTGTGTAGACAGACCAGGCCAGCGATCAGGACTGAGCCCAGACTTCATCATGAGATACGGAAGTTGAGTCAGAATCTGCAAAGGAGCTGAGCAGGAGCTGCAGGGGGGTAGGAGGAAAACTGGCAGTGTAGCCCCTGGCAGTCAAAGGGAGCAAGCTTCAAATGATGCTGAGTGGGTGAGAATGGAGAATGGAACACTGCGTTCCATTTGGCAGCACATAGATCGCTGAGGACCCTGTCCTGGGCAGTTTCCTGGAGGGAGAGGCAAGCCTGGCTGAAGTGGGTAGATGGGAGAGTGAAGGCGAAGGATTAGAGTGTATAGAGACCAATGTTTTGTCTGAGGGGAGTACAGATGACAACCAGAGGGCAGAGGTAGGTTAAAGGTGTTTAGTTTTTCCTTCAAGTAAATGGGCAGATGTATTCCATAGAAGTTCCCAATGAAGGGCCGGGCGCGGTGGCTCACGCCTGTAGTCCCGGCACTTTGGGAGGCCGAGGCGGGTGGATCACCTGAGGTCACGAGTTTGAGACCAGCCTAGCTAACATGGTGAAACCCTGTCTCTGCTAAAAATACAAAAATTAGCGGGGCGTGGTGGCGGGCGCCTGTAATCCCAGGTACTAGAGAGGCTGAGGCAGAAGAATCGCTTGAACCCAGGAGGCAGAGGTTGCAGCGAGCCGAAATCGCGCCATTGCACTCCAGCCTGGGTGACAAAAGCAAGACTCCGGTTTTTGTTTTTTTTTTTTTTAATTGCCAATGAGGAAAGGGGAAGCTCTGTGCTAGGCGACAGAGATCCCAACTGTTGAGCAGGCCTCTGCTGTGGCCTTCCGGCCGGTTTCCAGACACCCAGGGTGGCCAACATTAAAGTCCGCATAGCAGTGTGAGGTAAAACACTGAAGCCGGGCCTGCGGAGCCTGGCGGGCAACGGCCCTCTTCCTGGGGCTTCCCTTCAATCTCCGGGACATTTCCCCGACCTGGGGCTCCTCCGCCTCACGGCTAGGCCTCTCTGCAGATTGCAAGTTCACCTGCCACTACCGCTGCCGCGCGCTCGTCTGCCTGGACTGCTGCGGGCCCCGGGACCTGGGCTGGGAACCCGCGGTGGAGCGGGACACGAACGTGGTGAGCGCGGGGCCGAGGGCGTATGGGAAGGGCGAGGACGGGCAGGCCACAGCGCAGGCATTCTCGAAGACTGCCTGGGTGCTGCGCGCAAGGAGCGTTCTAAGTGCCGATTTCCCGGCGGCAGAGAGAGGCTAATTCTGAGCGAGGGCTGAGAGGGGTGCCTGGATTGCCGGCTCCGCAAGGCCTCCACCGGCTGCTAGCAGACCCCGGCCGCTAGCAGACCCCGGCCAAGGCGGACGCAGGCTCCGCGCACGCGCACTTCCCGCACCTTCCCGCCCTCGCCTCCGGCCCGAGGCCACCCTTGTGCGCTTGCGCGGACGCTGGCACCCGCCCCGTTCCCTGTGGTAGGTGGGGGTCTCTGAGTGGAGCTGCCGGAGCGATGAGGTCATTCCTCGGGGCTAAGTGTGCGTGTCCCCGCCCCGGCGTTCCTCCCCCAATGACACAAGAGCTAGATCCTGGCGATCTACGTTTCAGTCTTAACGGTTGCGGCGCGGCGCTGGCCCGGGCGCACGCGCACACTGACACGCGTACACGCACGCACGCGACCGGGGCGGTGGTTGGCGGCTACGGACGCGCGGGACCAGGGGGACGGGCGGGTGCGGCGATGGGCGAGGCGGAGACGCCTTCTTTCGAGATGACCTGGAGCAGCACGACGAGCAGTGGCTACTGCAGCCAAGAGGACTCGGACTCGGAGCTCGAGCAGTACTTCACCGCGCGAACCTCGCTAGCGCGCAGGCCGCGCCGGGACCAGGTGGGAGCCCGGGGGTGCCGGCGGGGGGCGGGAGGCGATTGCTGGAGCTCCGCCCTCCCCGGTCCGTTGCCGCGTCCTGGGTCGGTGGGCAGCCCCACCCTCCCGGCTACGTGGCTCCCCGCGTGTCCTGGCCGGTGGCCTGCCCGCAGAACCGTGTGTAAGACCCCGATTCCACCGCCTCGATACTGGTTACCTGGGCCCCCATGGTTTCTGTCACAGACAGGTTGAACAGGGAAAGCAGCTGTGTGGCTTGTGGTAGACCTGAGCCGGGCATTATCAAGCTATGACTAAAGCCGACCGAGCAGTCTGGACTAGCACCTCGATTTCCGCGTTCAGATGCTCCTGCTCCCTCCTTGGGGAGACTAGGGGAGGAAGTGGAGAGGGAGGAGTCCTCGCCAGGAATTGAGAAGTATGTTTAGGAAAACTGAGAGGCAGAGAGAGATCCTGCTCCTCCATTTGCACTCCTTTATGGAGCCAGCTGAGCCCTCACCTCTCCCCTGTTCTGGCCTGTCACCAGCTGCTGGAATGTGAAAGATTCTGATCCCTTCCTCTAGGGTGGATCTGGAGAAAGATTTGGAAATGGATAGGAAAGAAGTCTTATTTTGGACCATAAGCATTCAGGAGCACTTTACCCACAAGAAGGGGGAAGGGTAGATTATAAAATGCCTAAAGAGGTGGAAAGAGATCCAGGTTACTAACCCAGGACTGTAAGGTGTCTCGGAACCTCCTAGGTATCCCCATTATTAGAGAACTCTGTGCCAGATGCCATGGGTGTGACCACCAGGCTCAGAGAACCAGGCCCAAGCACCAGGAAAAAGAAATAGGGACTGTGAAGCTCAGTATGCCTGGCAGCAATGGGGCGGAAATCCTTATTTAAGTGAAGAAAGTGGAGTTGTGAGTGATGCTTTGGATAAAATTTTACAAAATTCCTTACAAAAGGGGTGGTGCTCAGCACCCCAAAATCTTAGCCCAGAGCTTGGGTGCAAGGGTTGAGTGTAAACCCCTGGGCTTGTCTTCATGTCACTCAGTCCTGAGCCATTTTCCACTGTGGGAAGGTGGGAAAACCACAAGACACTAACCAATTGAAAAGGAGGGCTAGCCACGGAGGCACACACCTGTAATCCCAGCTACTTGGGAGGGTAAGGCAGGAGGATCACTTGAACCTGGGAGGCAGAGATTGCAGTGAGCCAAGATCGTGCCAATGCACTCCAGCCTGAGTGACAGAGCGAGACTGTCTCAAAAATAGAAAAGGAAGCCAAGTGCGGTGGCTCACACCTCTAATGCCAATGCTTTGGGAGGCCGAGGCAGGCGGATCATTTGTGATCAGGAATTCGAAGCCGGCCTGGCCAACATGGTGAAACCCTGTCTCTACTAAACATACAAAAATTAGCCGGACATGGTGGTGTGTGCCTGTAGTCCCAGCTACTTGGGAGACTGTGAATCACTTGAAGCAGGAGGCAAAGGTTGCAGTCAGCCAAGATCGCGCCACTGCACTCCTGCCTGGGTGACAGGGTAAGACTCTGTCTCAAAAAAAAAGAAAGAAGGCTGGGCTTGGTGGCTCATGCCTGTAATCTCAGCATTTTGGGAGGCCAAGGCAGGCGTATCACTTGACGCCGAGAGTTCAAGACCAGCCAGGCCAACATAGCAAAACCCTGTCTTTACTGAAAATACAAAAAAATTAGCTGACCATGGTGTTGTATACCTGTAATCCCAGCTACTGGGGAAGCTGAGGCAGGAGAATCACTTGAACCCAGAAGATGGACGTTGCAGTGAGTCGAGATCGGGCCACTGCACTCCAGCCTGGACGAGAGAGCAAGACTCTGTCAAAAAAAAAAAAAAAAAAAGAAAGAAAGAAAAGGAGGCTGAGAAGTCCCAAGTCGTATGTAAAATAAAACCATCAGTTTTAGGCCAGGCGCAGTGGCTCACACCTTTAATCCCAGCACTTTGGGAAGCTGAGGTGGGTGGATCACGAGGTCAGGAGTTCAAGACCAGCCTGGCCAAAATGGTGAAACCCTATCTCGACTAAAAATACAAAAAATTAGCCAGGTTTGGTGGCAGGCACCTGTAATCCCAGCTACTTGGGAGGCTGAGGCAGAGAATTGCCTGAACCCAGGAGGCAGAGATTGCAGTGAGCCAAGATCACACCACTGCACTCCAGCCTGGACAACAGAGCAAGATTCCGTCTCAAAAAACAAAACCAAAAACAGTTTTCATGGACAGTGGTAGAGTGGAGGGTGGGTCCCTATGGTGCAGAAGGGAAATTCCATGGTCCTGCTATGCGTCCAACTGGGATGGCTGTTGAAGTCCTCTTCTAGCAGGCAGCTTTGGAAACAGAAGAAGAAACTCTTCCTCCTTTAGAATCCTGGAAGGGCTGTGTAGTGCCTCTAGTCCAAGTCCCTTGTTTTCTGAGTGAAGATAGGGAGGTTCATTTCCAGAAGGGAAGGGGCTGGAAATGAGGTCACTGCATCCCAACCCAGGGCTCCTGGGTCATCCAGGAAGGGAAGAAGGAGCAAGCTTTCTCATTCTTAGGTAGGAGCTCAGAGCCATCCTTGTGCCCTCCCTGTTCTGCAAACAAAGTGATCTTCCTTCTTGCCCTGGCACTAGAATCTGCCTGGCATTTCTCCTACCCCTAGTACTCCTCCCATCTGGGTGCTTCTTCCCATTGGTGTACTGAATAAACACATCCACTGCTTTATTCATAGCCTCTGGCCCTCATTTTTTCCAGGGCCACACCATTTGTTTTTACTAACCCGACAAGGTTGCCCACTGTCCCCAGTAAGGTTTGTGCTGGGGTTTTCACTCCAATGCTGTTCTCCATCCAGGAGACCTTTGGATACTTGGGGAAGCAAATGAGCTTCAGTTCCCACCCCTCCCCCTTTACCTTTTTCCTGTGAGGCCCTGGCCTCAGTTCTGAGCCCCACGTCCTTGCTGGCTGCAGAATAGCAGCGGGTTCTGGGTGAGGAGCATTCTGCTAAAAGGCTCCACCCTGCTCCCTCATCTGTCCTCTCCATTTGTCCCCATCAGATGGTTTAAGCGCTTAAGGGGACTCCAGGGCAGAGTCAGGGAGAACCCTGGCTCTCCTGGGCTGGGCACAAGATCATTCTACAGGAAACCTTGTGGGAATTCTTCTGGGACAAAATATTGGTCAGTGCTGAGCTTAGCTGTGTCTGTGACACTCCCATTCTAACTAGGGCCTGTCTGACATCAACAGGAAGTTAGGCTGATGCAATGGGGCCAACCAGGGGAGTCTGGGAGAAGAAAGTCAGTTCAGAGGCCTGGCTGCCCTGTCCCACACTCCACCCTTCCGGCAAGAATCTAGTCCCTAGATGAGATGGGGAGTGAGTGGTGGAGTTAAAAATCTTTGGGCCGGGTTCAGTGGTTCACGCCTGTAATCCCAGCACTTTGGGAGGCCAAGGCAGGTGGAACACTTGAGGTCTCCGGAGTTCAAGACCATCCTGGCCAACGTGGTGAAACCCCATCTCTACTAAAAATACAAAAATTAGCTGGGTGGTGTTGTGGCGTGCGCCTGTAGTCCCAGCTACTCGGGAGGCTGAGGCAGGAGAATCGCTTGAACCCAGGAGGCAGAGCTTGCAGTGAGCCAAGATCCAGCCACTGTACTCCAGGTTGGGCGACAGAGTGAGGCCTTGTCTCAAAAAAAAAAATCTTTCGGCCAAATCCCCGGACAGCACTGGCAGGTGCAGAAACCCACCAGGAAGCTGCCTGTGTACCTCTGGCAGATTGGAGCCTGGCCTAAAGCTGCTTTTATGTGCAGCTTGGGTCAAGGTTAAACATCATGTCACAGTGATTTTTCTCATTATGTATGAGACGTGGAGAGCTGGCTCCAAGTACTACTCTGTCCACTGGTGGCAGGACTACTGATGTGCACCACTCTCCACTCTTCTCACCTGCAGTAGGTCATGGCCCTGTGCTGGGGCAGAGGATAAAAATGGGCTGCTTTCTCCAGGACAAACCCTCACTCCAACTCAACTAGGGTGCTGTGATCAGAATGTGCAATTGAGGTGTGATTTTACTGTATTTTTTTTTTTTTTCGAGACCGAGTTTCGCTCTTGTTGCCCAGGCTAGAGTGCAATGGCGCGATCTCAGTTCACTGCCACCTCCGCCTCCCGGGTTCAAGCAATTCTCGTGTCCCAGCCTCCTAAGTAGCTGGGATTACAGGCATGTGCCACCACGCCTGGCCTAATTTTGTATTTTTAGTAGAGACAGGGTTTCTCCATGTTGGTCAGGCTGGTCTCGAACTCCCAACCTCAGGTGATCCACCCGCCTTGGCCTCCCAAAGTGCTGGAATTACAGGCATGAGCCAGCATGCCCAGCCTGTTTTAGTTTTTTGTTTTTTGAAGCAGGGTCTCACTCAGTTCCCCAGGCTGGAGTGCAATGACACAATAATAGTTCACTGTAGCTGTAATCTCCAGGACTCAAACGATCCTCCCACCTCAGCCTCCTGAGCAGTTGGGACTACAGGCACACACCACCACACCCAGCTAATTGTTTTTTTCTTTTTTTAGTAGAGATGAGGTCTGGCTATGTTGCCCAAGCTGGTCTCAAACTCCTGAGGATCAAGTGATCCTCCTACCTTGGCCTCCCAAAATGCTGGGATTACAGATGTGAGCCACCACACCCAGCCAGATTTTACCTTAAATGAGAGTCCCTCTTCAGAGTCCCTCATCTGTTCTGTCCCCTGGCCATGCTCCTTCAGTTGCCCCTGCTTCTGTGGTATCCTTAGGGCTACATTCAGTGCTGAGGCCCTAGGCAGGCAGCAGAGAGAAGCCAAATGATTCTGCCTTTCCCTTATCCACCCATAGCATGCAGAACCAGGAGCAGTAGTGGGTTCAGGGTGGGCACCAGCTGGCAGCTATGTATAGATACATCAGAGACAGGGGGGCCAAAGGCAGTCAGTTTCTAAGGACTGCCCCAGAGGCCATTTTTCAGAGAAGCTCTGGGTTCCTCAAGGGCCCTGTGTCCATGCTGGCCCATCTTGCAGGACGAGCCCGTGGAGTGGGAGACACCTGACCTTTCTCAAGCTGAGATTGAGCAGAAGATCAAGGAGTACAATGCCCAGATCAATAGCAACCTCTTCATGAGCTTGGTGAGTTGACTGTGCAGGAAAGGAGTGGGGGGAAGAACAGGTACCCAGCTGTGTGCCTGATACCCAGAGGGTCACAACTGAGGTTTTCTTGGGTGGGCCCAAGCAGTAATTTGTGCATACCCAGCCTAGCCCCAAGTAGACTGACATCTCACCTGGAACCTACTATCGTTTCATTTCTCTATTTCTTTAGAACAAGGATGGTTCTTACACAGGCTTCATCAAGGTTCAGCTGAAGCTGGTGCGCCCTGTCTCTGTGCCCTCCAGCAAGAAGCCACCCTCCTTGCAGGATGCCCGGCGGGGCCCAGGACGGGGCACAAGTGTCAGGCGCCGCACTTCCTTTTACCTGCCCAAGGATGCTGTCAAGCACCTGCATGTGCTGTCACGCACAAGGGCACGTGAAGTCATTGAGGCCCTGCTGCGAAAGTTCTTGGTGGTGGATGACCCCCGCAAGTTTGCACTCTTTGAGCGGGCTGAGCGTCATGGCCAAGGTGGGATTCCCACCCCACCCTGCTCTATGTGAGAGTATATACACATGCACCTGTGCATGCAAGGGCTGAGCAGCTGGCCCTGTCTCTGATCATTACTTCCCCTTCACAGTGTACTTGCGGAAGCTGTTGGATGATGAGCAGCCCCTGCGGCTGCGGCTCCTGGCAGGGCCCAGTGACAAGGCCCTGAGCTTCGTCCTGAAGGAAAATGACTCTGGGGAGGTGAACGTGAGTACATAGTTCTCCTTAGTTTCTTGGTTGTCACTAGATGGGACTGATGGGCTGTAGCTACAGTAAGGCTTGAAGGAGGAATTGTGCTGGAGGACAAGCTCTGCAAAACAGTTCCAGGAGTGTATAGGCATTGTAACTAAAGCAAAGGCTTCCAGACCACTCATGCCAAAGCCTAGGGTTGTCCCAAGAAGCCAGGAAGAATTGTCTTGGTGCTTTGGTCTTTCCTGGTGTGGAAAATCTGGAGATGCAGGAGTCCATCTAATGACATGAGGAGGCCCCCTTCAGACTTTTTACCTGGAAGCTTTCTGGCTCCAAGGTATTAGGCCTGTGGAGTGGAATTAGAATATGCCTGACCTGTCCACAGGTAATTGGGGAACATCTGATTTGGTTGCCTCAGTAAGGTGACCATTTTGTAGGGCCCATCTTCCATACAAACTGCTGTCAGGGATCCTAGCAGGGATCATTCAGCCAAAAGCCTGACATCAGAAAGCCTAGTCCTAGCTTGTGTGAACATGAGGTGCTAGTCTTCTCTGGGGAGGGTCTGCTGACTTGGCCATCCCTTCAGCCTGTACACTCCCCTTTCGCCCCTTGCAGTGGGATGCCTTCAGCATGCCTGAACTACATAACTTCCTGCGTATCCTGCAGCGGGAGGAGGAGGAGCACCTCCGCCAGATCCTGCAGAAGTACTCCTATTGCCGCCAGAAGATCCAAGAGGCCCTGCACGCCTGCCCCCTCGGGTGACCTCTTGTACCCCCAGGTGGAAGGCGGAGAGCAGGCAGCACCAAGTGCATGCCGTGTGAGTGTGACAGGGCCAGTGGGGCCTGTGGAATGAGTGTGCGTGGAGGCTGTCCTCTGCTGGGGGAATGAGCCCAGGGAACAGCGAAGGAGCTTGCCCCCTGTGTCCACCTGTGGGTATAGCCGGGTATGGCTCTGCACCCCTTGCACCCCTCTGCCCCTCATTACTGGGCCTTGGTGGGCCAGGGCTGCCCTGAGAAGCTGCTCCAGGCCTGCAGCAGGAGTGGAGCAGACAGAAGTCTCCTCAATTTGTGTCTCAGAAGTGAGAATCTTGGAGATGCTACAAACAGAACAGGGTCGTGTTTGCAGGGGTGAGGGCCCTCATCTATGGGGAAAGGTTTTGGATTTTGAATGTGGTCTCAGGATATCCTTATCAGAGCTAAGGGTAGGTGCTCAGAATAAGACAGGCATTGAGGAAGAGTCTTGGTTTCTCTCTGCAGTGCCAACTCCTCACACACCCTGAGGTCAGGGAGTGCTGGCTCACAGTGCATCAAGTGCCTTAATGCCTCATATGAGGAGGATGTCCCTGGGCCAGGGTCTGTGTAAATGTGGGCACTGGCCCAGGTTCATACCTTATTTGCTAATCAAAGCCAGGGTCTCTCCCTCAGGTATTTTTCATGAAGTGTATGAATGTATGTAATGTGTGGTGGCCTCAGCTGAATGCCTCCTGTGGGGAAAGGGGTAGGGGTGACAGTCATCATCAGGGCCTGGGGCCTAAGGGAATTGGCTGAATAAAGATTTAAAGATCCTCCTACTGTTGGAATCTTTTATACATACAAAGTTTTTATGAGTCTCCCTGTGTTGCCCAGGATCCTCCCAACTTGGCCTCCCAAAGTGTTGGGATTACAGGTGTGAGCCACCCTGCCCAGCCTGGACTCTTTATTATAGGTGGAGAGCTGCAGTTGCCCCTCATGGTGCCGGAAGTTGCCAAGGGTTATGGACAGGCTCACAGGTGTCTTGCAAAGTCACCATGGACCAGTCTGTGAAGCAGATGTAGTATGCATACATACTCAGTCATCATTCAGCTCCCTGGGGCTCAGGTTGTGGTGGAGACAAGAATGGACTGCAGTTAGAACTCAGGGAAACTGGCCAGGCATGGTGGCTCACACCTGTAATCCCAACACTTTGGGTGGGCTAGGCGGGCAGATCACTTGAGGCCAGCAGTTCGAGGCAAGCCTGGCCAACATGACGAACCCCATCTCTACCAAAAATACAAAAGAAGATTTAGCTGGGCGTGGTGGTGGGCACCTCTAGTCCCAGCTACTCAGGAAGCTGAGGCAGGAGAATCACTTGAACCCGGCAGGCAGAGGTTGCAGTGAGTGGAGATGACACCACTGCACTCCGATAGAGCAAGACTCCGTCTCAAAAAAAAAAAATAAAAAAGGCCGGGCACAGTGGCTCACGCCTGTAATCCCAGCACTTTGGGAGACCAAGGCGGGTGGATCACCTGAGGTTGGGGGTTCAAGACGGCCTGACCAGCATGGTGAAACCTGTCTCTACTAAAAATTTTTTTAAAAATTAGCCAGGCGGCCGGGCGCGGTGGCTCAAGCCTGTAATCCCAGCACTTTGGGAGGCCAAGACGGGCGGATCACGAGGTCAGGAAATCGAGACCATCCTGGCTAACACGGTGAAACCCCGTCTCTACTAAAAAATACAAGAAACTAGCTGGGCGTGGTGGCGGGCGCCTGTAGTCCCAGCTACTCGGGAGGCTGAGGCGAGAGAATGGCGTAAACCCGGGAGGCGGAGCTTGCAGTGAGCTGAGATCCGGCCACTGCACTCCAGCCCGAGCGACAGAGCGAGACTCCGTCTCAAAAAAAAAAAAAAAAATTAGCCAGGCATGGTGGTGAATGCCTGTAATCCCAGCTACTCGGGAGGTTGAGGCAGGAGAATCGCTTGAACCCTGGAGGCGGAAGCTGCAGCGAGCCGAGATCGTGCCACTGCACATTATCCTGGGCAACAAGAGTGAAACTCCATCTCAAAAAAACAAAACAAAACAAAAAAAAAACCGAGAAACCATCCCTTCAACACACACACACACCACGCTCTGGGAGAAGGTGTGACATAACCCCTTCACCAAATACTGAGCTGCCACCGTGGACCAGACACTGCTCATGGCACCGAGGGTATAGCTGTTAACAATTCTTGCTTTCATTAAAGCATGGACTCTGCTGGGTTTGAAAACTCTGAATTCGAAGTTCTTCACACCTGAATATAACTATGTGAATCTGGCCAGTTCCTTAATTTTCCTTCAACTTTGTTAGTTCACATAAGCGTGGCAATCGCAAAAATACAGCTGTGAAAATAGAAGCCAGATGGGCACCCAGCGGTCTGGCCTTAGGCCCTGAAGTGCTGGTTGAGGATTGGTGGTTGAGAAGGCCTGCTAGGCCTGAACTCAGGTGTTGGGGGACGTCGGAGCCTCCAAATACACCCAAGAGAGCGGGAGGACTCACGGCCACCACTTTCCTCCGTGGGAACTGTCACAGCTGGTCAGATCGCGGCTTGCTGGGACCCGAGATCTCGTAACGCATGCTGGGATGCCCAGCATCTAAGGGCGCCCATTGGTCCCGTCCCCACGCCTTGAGCAACAGCCAATCAGAGGGGGCAGCGTGCGGAAGCGGAAGTGAGGTTTCCGTGGAGACAGCAGAGCCTGCGGAAGGCGGCGGCGGCGGCGGCGGCACCTGCGAGCAGCGGCTAGCGCAGGTTATGGTGGAGCGGACTGCGCTGTGAGCAGAGCGGCCGCGGGGCCCGCCATGCGCCGGCGGCCCTGACATGGGCGCCAGCGGGTCCAAAGCTCGGGGCCTGTGGCCCTTCGCCTCGGCGGCCGGAGGCGGCGGCTCAGAGGCAGCAGGAGCTGAGCAAGCTTTGGTGCGGCCTCGGGGCCGAGCTGTGCCCCCCTTCGTATTCACGCGCCGCGGGTAAGGGCATGGCTTCCACCCTGGCGGGGGGAACAGGCAGGCGGCCAGGCGGCCCGCGCCACGGGGGAACTTCCACCGCCGTACCCCACTACAGCCAAGCCAGGACGACCCCCATATTTTGAGCCCCATTGGAGCTAGGGGTGGAGAAAGCCGGGTAGTGGTCTCCTGGCGGCCTGGCCACTCTGGAAGTCTCCCTAGGGAAGAGTGGGCCTGAGGCTTGTCACTGGGCAGACCTTCCGCACGGTAAAGCTAAGCTAGGGCCTCCATAAGACCTCAGGATCTCTTCCTTTCATCCCTTCCGGCTCAGCCTGCATACTGAAGGCTCCTAGCCTCCCTTTCCCCCCAATTATTCCAAGGGGATAATGATCCTCTGTTTAGGCTGTTTTTCCTCACAGTAGTGGGACTGAACCTCTCAGAGTAGTGGCTGGGAAAGCAGGGATAGGCCCCAGTACTGGGGGTGAGGCTGAGGAAAAAGATCCTCACTCAGTTATGTTCTCCAGATCCAGAGCGCTGACCTACCCACCCAGTCCCCACCCCAGTCTCCCAGAGGCCCGGACAAGAGTACCAGATTGGCTTGGCTGTAGTGGGCTCCTGGACATGGGCGCTCCCCGTGCTGGAGATTTGGCTGTAGACACCAGGAAGACCCAACAGTGGCAATTCACCAGCCACCTGGGGTGTGGGGTCAGGGGAGACACAGCCTTCATTCTTTTGGGCTCCTTCCTAGCTTAGGCATTTGCTATTTCAGTCTTTGACACTGGGCCAGCAGCATCTTCTGCAGTGAGACCAACATGCCCAGGCCACCACCCTGTCCACTCTAGAAGTCCTGGGTGAGGGCAAAGGCCTGATATTAGAATGGCTGCCCTTGCTGAACAAATCAATGATGAGAACTGGCCTTGGTGGCTGCCTGGATGGTGTGCTCTGGTGTGGCCTCTCTTCTTGGGGGTCTGACATAGTAGCACTGCCCACCCATCACCTCTCTTTCCAGTTTCTTCTAGTAGACCCCAAACCTCAGGCAAAGGATTCTCCAGGCATGCCAGGCATGGTGGCTCACGCTTGTAATCCTAGCACTTTGGGAGGTCAACGCGGGTGGATTGCCTGAGTTCTTGAGTTCGACACCAGCCAGAGCAACATGGTAAAATCCCATCTCTACTAAAATACAAAAAATTAGCAGGGTGGTGGTGCGTGCCTGTAGTCCCAGCTACTTGGGAGGCTGAGGCACGAGTGTTGCTTGGACCTGGGAGGTAGAGGTTGCAGCGAGCTGAGATCGCACCACGGCACTCCAGCCTGGACGACAGAGTGAGACTGTCTCCAAAAAAAATTTTTTTTTTTTTTTTTTGAGACGGAGTCTCACTCTGTCGCCCAGGCTGGAGTGCCATGGCGCGATCTCAGCTCACTGCAAGCTCCGCCTCCCGGGTTCACGCCATTCTCCTGCCTCAGCTTCCCAAGTAGCTGAGACTACAGGCACCCGCGATCACGACCTGCTAATTTTTGTTATTTTTAGTAGAGACGGGGTTTCACTGTGTTAGCCAGGATGGTCTCGATCTGCTGACCTCGTGATCCACCTGCTTCAGCCTCCCAAAGTGCTGGGATTACAGGCGTGAGCCACCGCACCCAGCAAAAATTTTTTTAAAAAAGGATTCTCCAGGCATATTATCCTCTTTTCTTCCCACTTGAGTTAGGAAGACCACAGAATTCCCTGTGGCCTGTGACATTTGCCATGCCTAGGTGTGGGGCTCCAACCCAGCCTGTTCCCCTCTCCCTCTGCGCAGCTCTATGTTCTATGATGAGGATGGGGATCTCGCTCACGAGTTCTATGAGGAGACAATCGTCACCAAGAACGGGCAGAAGCGGGCCAAGCTGAGGCGAGTGCATAAGAATCTGATTCCTCAGGTGAGGGGCTGGGCAGTGGTCACAGAGCCTACAGTAAGCGTATGGAGGTAGACCCAGATGGGATCTGTTGTCATGGTGAGGGGGGATCTGGGAGGAACAAGGAAGCTTCCTGAAGTAGAGGCCCTGCGCTGACCCTCACTAGCCTCTGTTTCCATGGCAGGGCATCGTGAAGCTGGATCCCCCCCGCATCCACGTGGATTTCCCTGTGATCCTCTATGAGGTGTGACCCTGGGAGGTGGCAGACGGAAGCACCCCCTGCCCCAGCAAGAAACTCCCAGGCTCAATCAAGGTGTGACTTCCATTGAGGAGCCCAGGCTGGGGCCACAACCCTGAATAAACTCTATTGGCCCATAACCTTCAGCTGTGAGCGGGTCAGTCCCGCAATATTAGTTGGGTGTTGGTTTTTGTATGGACAAGAGGTGGTTGGTGGGTGGTGAAGGCTAATGGCAGAGTTAGCACCCCACTCTCCCCAGCCACCCCTGCAAGAAGTACGGCAGGGCATATAACAGTCAGGAATGCCCGTTACCTGGTTCCTTGCCTGGTCTGCCTTCTTCCAAGTTTGCCTGGGGCCTAGCCCTGCTAGAGGCTACAGCACTTTACAAGCAAGGTATGCCTTCTTCCAGCCCCTAGGCTGTGGGCACTGTATACAAGTAGGAACTTCCTTTCCTTTACTTCCCTTTTAACCCCTAGTCAGAGCATTTCAGCCGTTTGCTACCTCGATTCCTCCTGTGTTGGACAGAGGCTGGGGGCAGTGCCAGCCTGATTCTTCCAACCTACCTGCCATTTGTTCCCGCCTTCAGATGGATGGACAGTTTGCTGGCTATTGATAGGAGTAGGGACTGTGGGTGGGGGCTTCTCCCTCTACCCAGGGCTGGGCTGATCCCCCTACTGCAACTAACTGTTCCCCCCACACCCCAAACCCCCAGTTGAGGAATTGAGAGGGTGCAGGCTGGGGTCAGGACATGCTGTGGATGCTTGTGCCTATGGGGAGTTATTCCAACCCACCTATTCTGTCTAATCCCCATGGCTTTGCACCAAATCCTCCACCCCTCCAATTGGGAGGGGACTGTTCACCACCTTGTGGTAAGGGACAACACCCTAAGGCTGGTACCAGTAGTTATGAGTAGCCTACCACCCCCTCCCTTACAGTAACCGCCACCCCTTCAGGATCAGTCAAGGGAAAGTACTAGAGCCCCTGGGTAGGGAAAGAAAGGAGAGAAAAACCATAAAAGGAATACTTACAATGTGAAGGTTTGTAAATAGTCCATGATGATGTCATGGCAGAGTCTGAATTCTATATAGAGGTGACTTTTTTTTTTAAGTACTGTGCAAGCTCTGTGCTTCTAGAATGTGGGAAGTGGCTTGGGGAAGATGGCCCCCAGCCTAGGAAGACTGTTGTGTTATTTGTTCAATTTCAATAAAATGATTTGTAGATCCTGCACATGAGAGTGGCATCCTGTGGGGCTGTGACACCCAGTGTCTAGACTACCACCTGGGCTCAATAGGTAGGCCTGGCACAGGACTCTGGCAGGCCCCCTATGACCAGCAAAGCCCAAGGGTAAGTCTGAGCTCAGCTTGTGGCCATCCCAGCTGTGGCCAGCAGGTGGCTGTGTGTTCACACAGACCTCACTGCAGGCCTCCTGCAGGGTGGGAGGGCACTCACTTATCTGTTGTGATCCATGTGGTGGTGACCCTTGGAATCAGAAGGCCCTGGGATACTTCACTGAGGATTGGCCCTACCTGCCTGACCTAAGGTGAGAGAGTGTGACCCCAGATAGTTCTGGAATATCTGTGTTAGCTGCAGAATTGCCAGCTGACCCTAAGTGGGGTCATGGCCTGACCCCCATGGACCTCAAAAGCCCAACTTTAATGGACAGCAGCCAGATAGGTGTCCCTACACCCTTGGCCTACTGCCAGGCTCAGCAACCCAAACTCATGTGCCTTCTCTAAGGCCTGCCTGTGGACACCATGGGAGAATGAGCTCAGTCTTATGTTTCAGCAAGCAAGGCTCAGCCCACCAGTATTGCCCCTGCTCTCTGTTGCCCCCATCTTGTCACCACCTGCAGCCTGCCCACTGTGGTCATTCTGCCTGCACTTCTCAGGGGCTGCTATGACGCAGATTCTCTGCTAGGCTTAGCCTTTGACTATCAGTCCAATCCCCAGTTAGAGAGGAGAGAGTTCAGGGACAGGCTTCTGACTGTAGGGAGTTGGTCTGCCAGTCTTTTGGAGATTTGAATTTGTCAAGCCTAGAGCAGGATCACCATATCCAGCCTGGACTTGCAGTTCTGTGGGGTGCCTCCCCATACCCCCCATAGGATGCCAAACATGAGGCCCTGTCATCCTCCATGGTCCCCCTCTACTGGCTGTTCAAGGCCCAGGGCTCTCCCATGCCAGATAGCATCCTATCTCCTACCACCACTGTCCCAGCCTGGGGGAACTCCCTGTGCTGGGCCTGCCCAGCTGACCCCAACACTGGAAACAATGGAGGTCAGGCAGCACTTCCTCACTCTCTTCCGCTGGGCTGTGCTCACTTCCTTCCTGCTGGCTGCCTAAGGAAGTGTCCCTGCCCTGGGACAGTCTGGCCTAGCCTTTGTTTCCCCAGGGGTCCCCACCCATGGAGCTTCCAAGGCCTCTGACCCCTGTGAAGCCAGCACAGTACAGGGACACTGCACCTTCCCCTACCATGTCATGGACTCCTTGGTCCTCAGGGCCAGACTCCAGGGCATTCACCTAACCCTCACACAGCCTTCTGTTGCGGGAGAGGCTCCTGGGCATTGGGCCATTGGGTTGCTGAGGGGTTGGCTCTGGGTGATTTGAGGGTAGGTAGATTTGTCTGCACCCCTGGAGAGGTCTGCTGGAACCTCGCTGCAGTCCTCCCTAGGGCCAGCCACAGGAACACCCCTCCCAGAGGAATATACCCCTTTCCTCATCCATGTTGTAAGGAGTCCCCTACTCTGTGTAGTGAACTCTGAAATACACCCAGGGATGAACTCCAGCAGGAAAGCACTCAGCAGAACCCTCCCAGCTGGTCCCCTCCTTCCCAACCCACACAGTCACACCAACACATTGTCCTGTCACACAGGATGCGGAAGCTCTCAGTGGAAAAAAATGGACTCAGCTACTGGAAGTCCCCCCGACCCTCCTCCCAAGGCTAGTTCCCTTCTTTGGCACCTGCTCTGGGGGACCCTCAGCTGAACAACCCCAAGTATTTTGACTCTCAAAAGCACCACCACCTGACCCCATCCTCTCACACCCTACTGGATTTGAGGATGGGCCCCAACCCTAGGGAAGGAATGAAGAGGTTCCCTAGTGTTGGAAGCTGTGGGTGTGGGGGAGATTGGCACCTGATCCTGAGCCCATAGCCTTCCTGTCACCTGGCGCAGCTAGTGGGACCAGATCCTACTGGGGAAGGGTGGGGAGGGCAGCCAGCCAGCAGGGCATTCTGGAGGGAAACAGGGTCAAGGCGATCTCCTCCCCCGCGCCTGTTCCTGGTCCTTTCCTCTCAGGGGGCAGCAGGAAGTGAGGAGAAAGGGCTGGGATGGGAGGCGGGAGCGGATGGGAGGGAATGGGGTTTATCAAGTCCTCGACGGGCTGCCCAACGGGCAGCAGCTAGCGCAAGTAGCCTAGCTGGAGAGGCTCACCCCAGGAAGGAGGGAGGCCGCCGACCGACTGGGCCGACGGACTCCCACACAGGTGAGCCCAGCGCAGACGGCTGGTCTGCACCCCCACAGCACTCCCTCCCTCTCCTGGCGCCTGGGAGGGTTAGGGGCTGGTGGCGCAGACGTGGGCCCTTTGGGGAGCTGAGTCTCGCACTGGGGAGCGGACGTAGGAAGAGCCGATGTGGTTTCTCACAGGGCTCGCCAGGGTCCAGCTCTAAGCCTGTCCCCCACTGGGAGGGGCCGGTGGAGCGTAGGGGTCGCTGGATACGGGATGGAGGCCCTGGGAGACCCCTCTTGCTGGCTTTCTTGGAGGTACAGCCAGAAACTGCTGCAGGGGATGGGGGCCTCCTCGGGGTTGAGAGGGAGCCGGGCTCCCAAAGGACCTCACAGACCGGGCAGAAAAGGACGGGATCCCAGGGATGACTGGCCCTCCCTGATGCGAGTCAGGGAGAGGGGGCGGCCAACTTCCTAGACCCCTCTGAGCTTCCCTGCCCCAACCCCTACTGGCCACGCCGCGACCTACAGCCGGGTTGCCAGGATAACGACTGCCTCGGCCCTTCCCGGGCGTGCTAAGAAGCGGTGCTTGGCCCCCTCCTTCAGTCTTGCAGGGGGCGGGGCCTCCCTTTACACCGCGGACCTGACAAGGGGGCCCCTGATTCGTGGGAGGCGGGGCATTACTGTCCAGGAGACCAGAGGTCGCCTCAGGTCAAAGTCCCTTTTTCCACACAAAGGGGCCCCATGGCTGGCGTCTACGTTCGGGGGTGCAGAGCCAGATCTGCTGCTGCCCCCCCGCCAACCTCGGAGTACCGCAGCACCTCCTGATGGTCGAGCGGGGGAACGCCTCCTCCCATTTCCCCCACCTTTCTCCCCGTCCCCCTGCCCCGTCCCTCACACTGTCTCTTTAAGGGGCTGGCGGCGCCGCGGAGCGGGTAGGACTGAACCACCGGCCTCGGGCTGCAGGGGGAACATTTCAGGCTGACTTACGCTCGTGGCTGAGACTCCCAGAGAAAACCCTGCTCAGAGGGCCATTAGGGTCCCAGATGGGTGGCTACGTTCCTCTGCAGAGGACCTGGGGATCTTCGAGCCCGAAACGCGGCACCGGCACCGAGAAAGGTGAAACACACCTTCCCGCCTCGGCCGCAAGTCCAGTCCCGGGCCCACCTCCGCACTGGAGTCTTAAAGGGCCAGCGGGCCTAGGGGCGGAGCCAGCAGAGGCGCTGAGCCGGGGCCGCGCCTGGGCGAACGGCCGGAGAGGGCTGGGCTGGGCCCGGGATGGCGGTGTCCCTGGCGCGGGTCCCGGTGGCGCCCCGCGCGAGGTGAGGGCGGGCGGTGCAAACCTGGCGGCTCTCTCCCCTTGGGCTGGGGTCTGAATCCCCGGGGGTGCTCGCGGAGAGGCGTCCCACAAACCCCACCCCCACCCGACCGGGCGCTGGCCCCACGTGCGGGGCGGGGGCGGGGTCCCGCACAAAGACCCGGCGGAGCGCGCTCTAGCCCTGAGCTGCCGGGCGGGGGAGGCGGGCGCGCGCATTCCCGGTGGCGGTGGAGGGACGGGCCGGTCGGCCGGCGCCGCCGTGGGAGGTCCGCTGCCCCTTTGTCCCCGCGGGGCCTCCTCCAAGCCGGGAGAGTGTCAGCTCTCGAAAGTCCGGACAGCCTCACTCTTCTGCCGGGCGGGTGTTACACGGATAGAAGCCTCGCAGCTGCGTTCCTTCCAGCTTCCTATCCTCTGAATGAGCTGTTCGCTGCTTTACCCAAATGCTATAGTTTCTCTGGATCAAGGGTTCTTCACGGTGTACAGGGTGGGCATCAGGGGTTCAGGGTTCTCTGAAACCATGTAGTGGATGGTATGCAGTACATGCTCACTCTGGTGAGCCTAGATTATCTAGTTCTGAGAAGGGTCACAGACCTAATAGAGATTTCTCCCGAGTCGTAGGCTACCTGCTCCAGAAAGGAGCCTTGTGTTTCTGGCAGTGAGTTCCCAGGGTGCCTTGCTTGCCCTGCAGTGGCCTGTGGTCTCTCAAACCTATTACAGCCATGAGCACAGTGCCCCCACACAGCATGGGCTTTGGGAGCATAGATGGGCTTGAGGGGGGCACTTCCAGGATTCCCTAGACTGACATGTTTTCCCCCACCCTTCTTCCAGTTCCTGAGCTGGTGCCAGGCAGGTGACACCTCCTGCAGCCCCCAGCATGCGGGCAGGCCCAGGCCCCGCCGTTACACTGGCCCTGGTGCTGGCGGTGGCATGGGCCATGGAGCTCAAGCCCACAGCACCACCCATCTTCACAGGCCGGCCCTTTGTGGTAGCGTGGGATGTGCCCACACAGGACTGTGGCCCACGCCTCAAGGTGCCACTGGACCTGAATGCCTTTGATGTGCAGGCCTCACCTAATGAGGGTTTTGTGAACCAGAATATCACCATCTTCTACCGCGACCGTCTAGGCCTGTATCCACGCTTCGATTCCGCGGGAAGGTCTGTGCATGGTGGTGTGCCACAGAATGTCAGCCTCTGGGCACACCGGAAGATGCTGCAGAAACGTGTGGAGCACTACATTCGGACACAGGAGTCTGAGGGGCTGGCGGTCATCGACTGGGAGGACTGGCGACCTGTGTGGGTACGCAACTGGCAGGACAAAGATGTGTACCGCCGGTCATCACGCCAGCTGGTGGCCAGTCGTCACCCTGACTGGCCTCCAGACCGCATAGTCAAACAGGCACAATATGAGTTTGAGTTCGCAGCACAGCAGTTCATGCTGGAGACACTGCGTTATGTCAAGGCAGTGCGGCC